TGTCTGGAGAAGTGCAGCTGGTCGTGGTTTTGTATCTGGGAATAGTAAGGAAACTTGGGAAGCAGGGAGACTTTAGGGGTAGGAACAGAGCTTCCCGTGCAGCGCGAGTTACGTGGCCAGGGCACATTTCCCATCTGTGCTGCTCCACCAAGGAGGGTGACAAACTTACTTGAGCAAATCATCTGTAGTGGAGCCAAGGGTAACAAAGCAGTCTGATAGCTCCCAAAATTCAGGTTTAACCGTGAGATGAGAGAGCATTGTATAAAAGCTCAGCGCTGGTTGGATGAGAAGGAGAGCACCGTGTTCAGAAACTCATGATCAGTGTCACAACAGCTGCTGCTTTCTGTGGGGTGGGATCCAACCTTGCAGTCAGAAATAACCAGATCTAAAATTAAGTAGCATTTACCATCTGTTTTTGTGAGACACAGAGGCTTGAGGTCAGTTTTTTAATAACAAGGCAGTGGATGGCAAACACCTAAGTGAACACTACCGTTGTTGGTGTCTTTTAAAATTGCATTAAGATTATTAATAGTGAAAGGATCAAACTGTTGATATCAGCTTGCTTTCTTTTGAAAAGGAGAAAGCAGGGGTGTCTTTTCTTTTTATAGCACTCCTGCTGACTTTAAAGGCCGTTTCCTGACTTAGGGGAAGTCCTTGACAGCTCTGGTGGCATTTCCAACTTTGTCCAGCTAATTCCCTCTGTTGTGTGCAGTTTATGTGCAGTCCCATGCTCTGAGACAGCCTGCCTGGCTCACAGATGTAGCGCTGTGTGTATGTGATCTGCTCATTCTGTTAATTTGTTTGAAAGGCCAGCACAGCTTCCAGCGTGACTAAACCATGTTGACTGCTGACACTGCCAGGAGATTGTCAGAACATCTGAGGGCTGCCAGGAACCCTTGCTGCTTTCCTGGGGGGGGCCGGTAGAGAAGTGACCTTTTACATGTGAATTTAAATCTCTAATGGAAAATGTAATTCTAGTGGAAAATGTAGGGTTTTTGCTGAAAGCCTTGGCCTCTTGCCCGTCCCTTTGTTACATTTGGATTTTGGTAGTGCTGGCTGATGGGGTGCTGAAATGGTTCAGAGGGCTGGTGGTGCCTGGTGATTGAGGATCTGCTCAGAGAGGAGATCTCCAGCCAGAAGGGAGGGAGGGTCTGCAGGCACCGTGGAGAAATCCTAGCTAATTCTGCCAACTCCCTTTCCAAGGCATCATCTCTCTGTGCCTGTAGTTACACTCGACTTGTCCTATGTAATCAGTCATTTAGATCATCAGCAAGTTTTACCTTAATGCTGTGACCATTTCGTAGAGTCTGTGTTGTGGGTCAAGGTGAGGGCAAACCCTTGTCACAGGCAGGAGGGCATTCCCTGGATGCTGGGGCTGCTCCTTTCAGTCCTGCTGGCACATCTGAGGGGCACCTCTGCCCTGGCACTGCCAGCAGGAGCAAACAAGCCCACCTGGGGCAGCAGATGCTGGAGACCACCCTTAACTAAGTGATGCTACTTCAGCCTCTACTCCATTTCCTTTCCCTTCCTGCTTCCCTTTGCTGCAGGTTTCCTCTGGCAGGTCTGTGAGATGGAATGATCAGGCTTTAGAGAAGAGTATTTTACACTAATCTCATTTAAGAGAGCAAGGGACTGTGCCGACAGAACGGGGGAAGGTGTTCCCTAGGGGAAGGGGAAAAGAAGGAGCCCTGCGAGTGGGCAGGTGAAGCGTGGACAAGGAGCAGTAATAGCTCATGTGGGACCTGCCCTGACTAAAACCTGTTGTGCAAGCTCTGCTCTACCAGTCAAACGCCCTCTTGCATGGATAAACCTCACAGCAGAGCCACTGTTGCCAGTCCAAAGTTGAGGAGGCTTTTGCCAGTCGAATAAAGCCCATAATCTTTCACAGTAGCTTTGGGATGGTGAAAGCAGGGGCTGAAAGCCATTCTTTGTTGTAAATTTGCATTAAAATACCGATCAGGGTCTTCTCAGAAATGAACCTGTTGCTCTGTCCTGGCTATTATTTTAACTGCCTCCCCTTGCTCATTTGTGTGCTTCTCTGGGTTTTTTTCCAGCGTTGTGGCTCAGTTTCCTTTTCCTGCTTCTGTTCCCTTGCTCAGCCGTGATAAGTGAATTCTGAGGGGGGTTGGGGAGCAGGGAAGAAGCCCTCAACGTTTGTTCAGTGCAGTGTGAAAGAGTTCTGGAGTGCTGCAGATGGGGAATACCCTGGCAAGTTCACACCCCTGAGTACACTTGCTTCTCTGTGTGCTGCTGTTGCTCTGTGAACCTGCGTGTTCCTGGGGCAAGCTGTGGGAAACTCAACCCCAGAGGGTGGAAATTACTTTCTTGGGGAGCTCCTTGCAGAGAAAACACCATCTTTGAGGTGCCTGCTTAATAGCCAAGGCAGGTGCTTGGCTATCAGTGGGACAGGGAGGGATTCCTGGCTGGCAGTCCATGGCCAAGTGCCGTGTCCTGCCTGCTGGTCCCCCTTCCCCCCCAGCAGCTGGGAGCCTCTCTCAGTGCCTCCTCCTGTGTCACCGTGCCCAAATTAGCAGAGGTTTGGCACTCTGGAGGTGGCAGCCCCTGTTATCCAGTTGCTGCCGTTCCATCAGTGTCCAGACATCCCGTGTGCTTCCCCTGTGACCTGCCTGTGCTGCCGGGATGGCCGGACTGCTGTGCAAGAGGCGCAGAAAAGGAGGTAGGAACGTTCCCTTTGTGGCAGGAGTCTCTCCATGAGCTGTCTGTGCAGGCTCTGTGCAAGCAGCTCTCCCTGGGCAGCAGGTTTGGGGAGGTTTTTTTCTGCTGAAAAGAGCTGTGCTTTGCCAGCAGCAACAGGAAAGGATGTTTTGGCCCTATGGGACCTGGCTGGATCTGAAGGCAACCATGGGGGTTACACCTGGCTTATCCTGAGGGATGAGGGGCTTAATACACAAATTTGCATTAATGTTTTCTTTCAGTTCAGTAAATTGCTCAGAAGCAAGGAATTTTTGTTAGAAACCTGAGTGGGGATAATCTCTATATAAAAAATAAAAGAGCAAGCGTATCACCTCGATTGAACTTCTGCGAACAAAACTAGTTTAGCTGCATTTAAAAGTATTCTGGCTTGAAATGAGTGCATCATTTTGTTCATCTAGCATACACTGAGGACACATATCCACTGTCCAGAGGAGCTTAGCAGCTCTCTTGTGCACTTTCACAGCGTTGGGAACAGTGGTGCCCTGGACGTACTGAACACTTGGCATTCCCAGAATGACAGACCTGCTGTAATAATGAAAAGGGAGTCTATCTAGAAGCAAGGCTGGTACTTCCAAAACAAGCCTGGGCATTTATAGTCCTAGCAGGGTTTTAAAAATGTTGCACGTTATGTTCGGTTTCCACATGAATTTTTCTCGTGCCTCGTGGTGACCGTGTCCCTGTCGGCATCACGATGTGGGAGCTGCTGGGCTGAGAAAGCTCTAGTTGGGTGTGCTGGGTAAGGCTGTTAGAGCTGGTTTCATCTGTTGCATGAGACCTCTTTGCTCCCTGACTGGTTTTGGTTGTAGAGTTTTTCAAGAAAATGAGAATGAGTGCATAAAAGGGGTAATTATGAATTTATTTAGTAGCATCTTCAGCCAGGAGGTTAAATAGCCTGCAGACATTGTATTCTATTTGCAGTTCTCATTGCAGAAGGTACAGCCCAAAGAGCTGGCAGCCCCCTTTTCCTCACGAACCATGGTTCGTAAACCATCAGCTCTCAAAATGTGAGGCTGGTGTTTGTTGCTTGCAGAACATGAGGACAGAATTTCATAACTGACTATTTTAGTGATGCTCAGTGTCATGCTGCGAAGCAGAATTAAGTAGCCTCTTCGGGACTGCAATTAAGAAGTGTGGTAACGTGGTTTAAGCACCTGTTTCAGTTCTCTGTGAGAGGAGGAGTGGGCATTGCAGTGTGTCCTTCCCTGCCCTCTTCTGTCACAGTAGGATCTCTCTGTTTTCCATGAAAAAAAGCAAGTCCTGATGCAGGATTTTGTACCTTTGCAGACCGCATGCCTATGGTTTGATTTTCCAGTGGGAAAGGGGAATAATGACTGCTCTGGAAGGAAGAGCTTGCTGGGGATACTGTCACTATTAGTTAACTGGTCCTTTTTTTTTTTTTTTTTTTTTTCCTAAGAAAAGTTTATCTAGCGAACCTTATTTATTTGGAAGCCCTTGCTTTTCCCTGAAAAGAGTGTGGGGCTTGGTCCCTCCCAAAGGGGACTGCAGTACCACAAATGCTACCACAAATGATTTTAGCCCGTCCTAACACAGAACTGTCTTTGTATCTCCTGTTTCACATGCATCTGTTTCAATGTCTTGGCTTATAATAAATGTTGTCTGGATTTAGGGGGAGATGTGCCTTGGAGAGTGTAAAAGTGTTCCAGCATTGCTGGTGGTTTTCTTACTGTCAAGCTCTGTGAAGGTACTAAAGAACTATTCAGTTCTTGTCCTCAAGTTTGTTTCCTCCCATGTGTCAGGATGTAGGGAAGTATTTTAATAGCCATTTTATTTGTGAAGAGCACTTTACTGAGCTTCCCGAGTGAGAGTTGTAGGTTTAGGACAAAAGCTTGAAATAAAAAGTTTCAGATTTGTGCTTACCAGGTCATGGCCCATCCGTTTTTATCCCGTGGAACTGCTGGAATTATATACATTTTCACCTTGATTTTGGTAGGTCTTCCTGGGAGTCTCTGAGGCTTTAATAGGGCTCCTTCCCTGGGGAGAAACAAGGACCCTGGGGTTGTTCTCACCACAGGACTGGGTTTCTTGCAAGAAGTTTCCAGCCTGTTGTGTGGTAGCTCTGTTTAATGGGAGGCTATAAAAGGATGTTCCTTTCATTTTATTTTCCACTGTGGTTGCAGTTCTTCATGCCATAAACTGTGGTTCTGTTTTGAAACATCTGGATCTACCAGATGTTTTCTCTTACTGTGAATACTCCAAACCCTACATATCCACCAACTTTACACTTATTACACTCTCTCTTTCTGTTTTTTTCCCCCTCGGTTCAGTGAGTGACCTCCAAGAAGAAGGTAAAAATGCAATCAATGCTCCAATGAACCCAAGCATCGTGGACATCCATCCAGAAGATACATTATTAGGTAAAGTTTTCATGCTACATTCCTTGACTGAGGTAGTTTATGGACTCTCTCCTATGTCCATCCCCATCCTACCTCTCTGAGTCCCCACAAGAGCAACAGCACAATTTAACAGCAAAAAGTGTTCAGAACTTGTTGATGTAAAACATTTCTGTCTCCCCCGCCCCATATGTCTCTTGATCTACAGAATTAGTTGAAGCAAGCTGTCATGGAGAAAAATAATTAAATTAAAACCAGAAGAGTGTTGGTCATTTGGGTTTTCTGATTAGGAGAGTCGTAGGAAAGGCAAGGTACTTTTCTTCTGAGTCGTGGGCAAAGTGTGTGTGTGTGTGTGTGTGTGTGTGTGTGTGTGTGTGTGTGTGTGTGTGTGTCTCCAGTGATTTCTTTTGGATGCCACTAGAGCTGTGTGTGACTTTAGGAGATGCAGGAGCGCTCCTAAAGGCCTGTCATGCAAAGACATGATCACCAGTGAAGTCAGCCTGAGTTCTGTGGTGAATCATGCACCCTTATGGGTCAAATAAATACTGTTCAGGGTTAACAGTATTTTGGGTGTGTAGTGGGTGTCACTTCCTTGTGATAGAACGCCTGACTCATCCTAGGCAGTAATGGGGAAGTAAAGGAGCAGGGGGTAAAAAAGCAGCAAAAGAGTCTTTCATAGGTTTATGAAAATTTTTCAGTGTTCGGATAGCAAGGTCCTGTTTTTTTAACAACAGTCAGGGGCCCTGGAAAATACTGAACCCAAATGTGTGGGTGAAGTCCAGGGTAACCAGTGAGGTGGTATAGTCAGTCTGGAATGTCATGTTTCTCATGTGACAGACAGCAGGAAAGTCTGGCACTGCCATAGGAATTCACTTTAGGCTAGTTCGTGGTCAGGATTTCAAGTGTGGCAAAGGCTTGACCAGTGGTGATACCAACACCCTCCTTCGTTGTCATGGTAGAAGCAACTGAGAAATCAGTAGGAAAATAGGATATCATGTGGCCTGTCTACATTCATTTGAAGATAAATCCATGGGGTCCATAAATACTAACTTAACTGAAGAGATGTGGATCTCCCCAAGGAAGCTGTTCCACTGCCACCCACCCTTGTGTTCCTGTTCAGTGCCACTGAAAGGAGCAGCTCTAACTTGGATCACAGCTCCCACCTGGCTGCTCAGGGAGCTAAAATGAAGGGCTCAGGGAGACACCAGCAACTTAAAAGCAAGCACCAGAATTTAAAATAAGAGACTTGCTCCAGCTGTGTTCCAAATGCTGCTATCCGTATCTGCAGTACCATAAAAACATGTCCATGAAGAATAAAAGTTTCAAAAGCTTCACTGCTGGTTGCCATCCTAAACATAATTAGGGTTGACTACCTGTAGGAATTGAGTCACAGGCTTGGAAAAGATACTTTTACATTTCACAAAAGTGGCAGGTTTCCTGGGGGTCCCTCACATGTGCTGTTGTGAAGGTAATTCTGCCAAAGGTTTGATTTTTAGCCTTACTGAGCTCAAGTGGATTTTGTTACCAACATTTCATGCCTTCTAAAGATTGCTCTTTGTGTCCACGCCTCTAACACTTGTCCTTCTGGCCATTGGAGAGCACTTGTCACGTATCTTCATCTCAGCAGCAGAAGAAATAGAAGACTTTAGACCTGCAAAATCTTGTTTCATGTTCTTGCCCCATGCACAAGTACTGATAAAAAGTGGGGTACTTTTAATTCTCCAAAGGTGAAGGAGTTCCTGCACTCGGGGCCACGTGTGGCCAAGTTTCAGGGAACCAGAGAATGGAGACACAAACTATCAGCCCAACTGCACTGCTTGTAGTGCCATAAACTCACCGTGTTCTTCCAGATGGTGTCATTTGGGACAGGTGTTTTCAAACAGAAGTGAAATCCAAATCTAGGAGAAGGAGAAAAGTAGCTGACTGCACTTTTTGGAGTGTTAATATTAACGTGCCCCCCTATGAGGACGGTGATTTTCCTGAAGCATTCTGCGCAGAGCAGGGGATTTCAGTGGAAACAATCTTATTTTAGGGAAGTAGGGCTGTGTTGTCTTTCTCTGTGTCCCTAAAATTGCCCGACACCGATCACCAGACACTCCCTTGCTAAGATGATGACGGGGCACTGTCACTCGCCCATCAGCTGACAGGCCCCTCGATGAGTGGGAGTTGTTGCAGTGTTTCTGCACTGTGTGTTTGATCTCACTGAGGTTTCCCGTTTTACTTGGACAGAGGAGAATGAGGAACGCACCATGATTGATCCCAACTCCAAGGAAGACCCCAAGTTCAAAGAGCTGATCAAGGTAGGAGATCAATGTTTTGTCCTCCTTCAAGCCTTTAACAAGTGAGCTGCAGCTGTTTGGAGTTAAAAACTTTTAAAATCAGAACCCTGGTGAATAGCAGCCGGTGACTGCAGCGTGTCTGTGACAGCTGAGGTGAAGGTCATCAACGAGGTAAGGCTGAAAGCAACAAGTGAGAGAGACACAAACATGTCAGAGTGCTCGTGGTGGCTCTGCAGTAAAGCTCCACTGCCCATTTATATCCCTGTGATTGTCACAGTGGGGATCAGGGCTTGGCTTGCACCCACCCAGAATCTGTGCACATAAACCTTCTGCTCATGAAAGCGGGTTTGGAGAGCATTAGTGAGATTTCAGGAGGAGAAAGAGCAGGACTGCAGTCACACTTAGGGGACAATGAGGAGGCCTCTTGTGTCATAGCAAAGTTGGAACTGAAATTCCTCTTGCCCTGTGTTGTTTCCTCAGTTTATTTCCCACTACACTTTCTCTTTATTGTTTTAAAATACTTATAAAAAGTATTTTTGTTAAAAACAACAACACAGCTGTACCTGGGCTGGTCTGAAAATTCGGGATAGTGTATTCTGTTTTCCAAAGAGGGGGTTGAGCTGTGGCATATTCCCCTCTGGAATCCTTGTGCACCCTGACTGCACACACACGTGGTTCACAGAATTCCTCAGCAAACTGCTCATCCTTAAAACAAGCCCAGTGATCTCTTATTATCACTGCAATAACATCCTTAGGGTTACAAAACCACATCAAACCGAGTTTAGCAAGGAGCTGTGCTCAAGTTTTGTGGTTATTCTAATTCACATTGTGGTTTTAAATGAAATGAAATTGCACATTCTCTCTTTGTGAGCAACTAAATCCATTAATTCTCTCAAAAGGTGCAGTGGTCTTGCATCACTCCTTCCACATGTAATGTGGTTTCTTTGCAAGTGGAGCAGTGGTATTATCTTGAATAATACAGCTGAACAGTGAAGCAGCCAGATGCACTCTGTGATGCAGGAGAATTGACACTGAGATCACAGCTGCTTTCAAATTAAGAATTTTCCTATTTTTAATATGAGTTAACGAGTCCTCCCTGGATGTCATAGTCCAGCAAGGTTATATTTTTCAGATTAAAAGCCTGAAAAAGCTTCAGGAGCAGAGAAATCCGTGGCTAGAGCAGCCCTTGAGAATGTATCTGAGTTCTTACAGCACATTGCAGAGCCAGGCTGTGGGTCACCAGGCCAGTTTGCACTTGCACAAGGAGAGAGGCAGTGGAACTGGAGATTGTTTCCTTGGGATCATCCTCAAAGGAGAGATGTGTCCTGTAGAGAGCCTGTGTAATTTAGGTAATTGCTAATTATCTGCATACCTCTCAGCAGTTAAGAGTTTTTGCAGAGATTCAGCTGTGTTGGTGTGAATTCACTCTGTGCTGGTGGGAATCTCTAAGGCAGGGAGAGGTTTGAATTACATTGGCAGAACTTGTTTTATGCTACAGAGTTTGGATAATGTGAAAAAATGAGCAATTTATTCCTTGTTTTCTGTTCTTCTGTGGCTAGTGGCCTTTTCCAAGAGCCCCAAGGAAGTAATTCGCTGTGCAGTGCCAGCAGAAAAGGCTGCCTGCCCCACAGAGCTCGAAATGAACGATCTCCACGGACTGGAGAGGAGCGAGAACTCAAATAGATGGATGTTTTTACAGTTCTAAGTGGCTCTCTCTCTCTGTCTTTTCCCCTCAGAGAGGAATGTGTCAATAGCAGCAACAGAGCCCTCATGCCTTCTGAAATTTGGCAGCGTAGCTGGGTTTGGTTGGTGCCAGCCCAAATCCCTTTCAGCACCAGTCAGACGTGCCAGTGGTTTGCCATCGCTGGCTCTGAGTGTCTGTCCTGGCAGTCACGTGCAGTTGGGTGGGAGGATCTCAGAGCGAGGAAGCAGCAGAGATATCTGCTGCTGGTGCTGCTTTAGCATCCCTTTGTCTCCTCCAAATGTTGTTTTAATTCCTGCTGACCTCACGCCATAGGAATTACGTGCGCTGTGGACGTTTTTTTGGAAGTGATTTTGACAGAGACACAGACTGAGCAGCTGTGTGGTAACACGGAGAGAGCAGCAGGGGAAAAACACAACAAAAAGCCTCATTCCTCACTCTTATTAAAGCAAACATACAGTGAATCCCCTTTGCTGAAGGCTGCTTAGTTGAGCAGGCAAAAATACCTGCTTTAAGTCTTCTTGCACATATGAAAAATATTATGCCTGGGAGCGTTGTTTGTTACCATCATGGCCAATATTCTAAGAATGGACACAGTGTTCAACTAAGTGCCCTCTGTGGCCAGCAGCCTTTTCTTCCTCCCTCCCTTTGCTCTTTGTGTAGTCAAAGTTTGGTACATGGCTGAACAGAACTAAAGGTGAAAATACAGATCGGGGAAAAGCATGAGTTGTTGGTTTTAGGTATATATATATATATATATATATATATATATATATATATATATATATAGGTGTATATACATATATATATATATACATATATATAAATATTTATATAAATAAAATATTTACACCTGTATATATACACACACCTATGTATATATATGTATATATATATATATAGGTATAAATATTTTAGTCAAGTGTCTGAAATGTGTGACTTCATGTCCTCATTGCCCGGTATTTGCCAAATGCACAGCTGACTTAAAGTAAGCATTTGAATTAAAAGTCTGGGCTGTTTTGTGATCAGAGATGTCCTGTGATATATTGTTTCTTCTTTTATACTTCAAAGTCAGGGTTTTATTCTATATATTATTGTGAATCCGATTAAAATTCAGTTTCCATTAATTTATCAAGTTCCTCTGGCTGATCCATGTCACTAATTGTAAAGCGTGCTTGGAGTTTCTCCTAGCTCTCTTTTGGATACTTAAAAAAAAAAAAAAGTTGCTAATCTATGTGTTCTTTCCTTGTTGTGTGTTTCTGTGTGTTTCTTTGTGTATTGTATATAAAGGTGGAGCGAATTTGAACCTCCTGGTTCAGATAAAACTGAAGAGTCAAAGTTCCAAAAGCTTCGATGCTGGTTGCCATCTCAAACATAATTATATAGGGTTAACAAACTGTAGGAATTGAGTCACAGGCTTTGAAGAGATACTTTAACATTTCACAAAAGTGGCAGGTTTCCTAGGGGGTTCTCATTTTCAATGTTTCAGTAGGAAAAATATTAAAAAAAAAGAGCTTCTGCTGATTGAATACAACATTTTAGAGCAGCAGCTTGCAAGAATTGGGTCCTGTCTGAAAGTGCCCTGACAAAAGGCAGCAGGTCACAGTTGCAAGATGTTTTCCCTCCCTTCAGAAACTTCTATGAGGTTGGCTGATACTGCTCCAACTTTTGGCCTCTAAAACCTCATCTAAACTTCCTACAGGTCCAAACACTGCTGCTCTGATTTCAGATACTGCCTGAAATGAGTAAACATTCCCACGTGTGGTAAAATATTCGCTGTCCTAGAAGATACCACCTTTCTCCATGGCTAATTTTGTGGCTTTTTGAGATTAGCTGAGGTGGAGAGAAAACCAAAATGATGGCACTGTCCTTTTGGAAGGGTTTCACATGTGCCCAGATGAAAACTGTGCTTCCTAAGTGCTCTTTTGGAAAGGAGAAGCCTTCTCTTGGTTTCCAGGCTGCCAGTGCTTGGTGCTTACTCAACAGGCATAAAAATATGAATTTTTAATAGTAGTTTCCCTGCTCAACCCCGAAGCCAGTCAAGCTTCCATACCTTTGTTCTCTGCTTCCTAATTCCCTCGGAAGTTGAGGGGAGGAGCGTCACTGAAACCAGGGTTTTCTTTCTTTGCTGTTTTTGGTGACTGGGCTTCCTGTTTTCCCACCGTACCAGATGTGTTCATGTGTTTTGTGATGTTTTTCATGTTGTCCACGTGTGCAGTGTTGACCTGGGGGGGTCCTTCTACCCTTGAACTCTGATTGTGCCTCAGTGCCATGGGAGCAGCCACTCTGCAGAAAAAAACCCGGTGGAGTTTGGTGGAAAAAAACCCTCTTGCATCAACTAAAAAAACCCAAAGTCGTCCCAGCAGGCTCATTTTTCCTTGTGGATTTCCAGCACTCCTTTGTTTCAGCTGTCTGCCTCATGGCCAGTTCCAGTCTTCAGCCCACTAAATGCAACGTGGCTGGTGTGAGCAGACACTTGAATTCGTCTGAAAAAAACAATAAAATAAATAGATGTGTGAGAATTTAAAGTGCTGTTGGACTAGTTGACAGCCCCAAACACGCGTGTCTGAGCATTTGCCACGGGTCAGAAGTGCCTTGTGGGAGCGTGGATGTGCGTGACTTTTCAGTCATGGTGACTGCATTGTAAAACCACACTGCTAATCCCAAATGCTAAACCCAAAAGCAGATTTTTGGTGAGGTAAAATTAAGTGACCTAACAGACATTTCCATGTACTGAACAAGAAGGTGATTCTCAGGTGCACTGAAAATCATGTGGGATGTTGGAGGGGCTTCTCCAGAAGGAAGGAGAGGTGCAGTTAAACATATTTTCATGCGTAGGAAAAACTCTCTGTCTACTCCCCACCAATTTCTCTGGGCCTGTACCAAGCTGTTTAAATTTTTAGATATTCAGTTTATTGGCTATTTTTCTGCTTTTGCATGAAGGAGACACTACCAAGAGACTTTCTGTGAGCAGACTCACGAAGTATTTCTGCATGTTCTTCATTTCAATAAGCAACTTGGTGCTTTTTTTTCCGTTGTAAAAGTCAAAAAATCTGTGCAGAAAGATTTTTCCAGGCTCCTAATTAAAACACAATCAAGAAATCATGAGGTGGAGCAGCAAATCTTTGGGGTTTCTTTGGGATTGTTTTAATTATAGCACTTACCAGTCTTCAATGGCTGTTACAAAAAAAAAAAAAACAAAAAAAAACCAACAAAAAAAAAGGATTTTTTTTTTCCCTTAAATATAAATTGAAAATTCATTTTTTGTAGTGGAGCTGGAGTTTTGGTTTGTATACTAAAGAAGTTAGAATGTTCTTTGGGATATTTTTTATACATTCAGGTGCTAAAATAGTAAAAGAATAAAATAACTATGGCTAGACCTTGTTTAATTTGTATCCCTTTCATGTACTTTTTTTTGCTTGTATGTACTTTTTTAGTTTTCAATGCTAAATTTTTGTGAAACATTTAATTAGCACACAGTGTAAGTATTTCCCTTTTTTTAACACCCTCTGTCCAAAGCCACTTCATGATTTCTTTGTACCTGCCCTCTTGGAAATGGGATGTTGGGTCCCACATTAGAAGGTACTTCCAGACTTTTATTCTTTTATTTTTATTTCCTTGGCATTTTCTAGATTCTGACTTCAGTACCATTTAGCACAAAACAGACAAAATGAAATGTTAATTAGTGGTTTCAAGTAGTTCAGCATCCTGAGTCTTATTTTAACAAGGCTTTTGAGGACTTCTTGAATTCCAGCCTCTTCACCTACCAGGAATGTCCTTCTATCCCTTGGAAAAGATGGAAAAAGAGAGGAATAAGTGATTGGAGTTTTCTCTGCTAATGTGGTCGTGTGGGACTGTAAACTTCTTTGTGGACACAGTTTTTATGTGCCTAGAAAAGCTTCCTTGAGGTTTGTAGACTGCATGAACATCAGCAGCCAGGCTGAATTATTTAAGTGTCCTGGTGACCAATGTATTCAGATACAGGATTCCCAAGATGGGTGTTTTCCAGTGCAGGGCTGTCTACATTTTGCTTATTTTGGGGTTTTTTGCACTTTTTTGTATATTAAACCCCCAGATTTTCTTAGTGATCGTGACTGCCAAGAAGAGGCAAAAATACGGTGCCTAATCAGAAAATGAATTTAGAGAGTCCTCAATTTTATATGAAGCAAATTAAAAACTTCAGAATTTGCAAAAGAAGCTCATTGTTTTAGGTGGCTCTAGTTAATGGATTTGTCATGTGTGTGGTTGGCAGTACTCTTCTCCTATAGAACCAAGGAATTAGCAGGAATTAACACCACGTCTCTTCCCACAGAACTATATTAGTTTTGCAAAAGCAATTTAATTTTCCACCTAATAAGTTGGAGGAAAGCACTACTGCCAGCATCAAACAGAGGCTGTTCTTCCTGTAACTGTTTGGAAATTATTATCTTTATTTTAATCCTGGGCTTCTGTGTTCTGCAATAGTTTAAGATAAAACACCTTGACCTGTTGCTAAGGACAGAGATCCAGCTCTTGGGCCTCTTGAGCTCCTTTTTGTAGAAGTGTTCACTCTGTCCCTTCTGAAGTTCTTCTTTCTGGCAATTATTCACATTTATTCAGGGAGATAAACGTATTCAGGGAGATAAATCATAGCAGGAGCGTGGGACTATTGGCATCTCTTGACAGGTCTGCAATTCACAGAGAAACGGGTTTTTGGGACCTGAAGAACACCAACATCAGCAAAGGCTGTTGCTGAAGAGCTGCTGGTTGTTGTTTGATTTGGAATTGGTGCCATAAGGAGATGTTTTAATGAGGAGAAATAGAGGGCACTACAATTGCCATGCTGTCAAGACCTGAATTAAAAACCATAAGGGGCAAAAAGATGCTTTTACTCTGTTGTTTTTATCTGAGGTCTTATTTGGAAACAGAAGAGCTCATGGTTACTCTTCCTGTGTTTTATATTTCTGATTATACAAAAGGAATGTATTTCATTCATTATTTTTAGACATTTGCCTCCTCTTTCTGTCCTTCCAGGTTCTGATTGACTGGATTAATGATGTGCTGGTGGAGGAGAGGATCATTGTCAAACAGCTCGAGGAGGACCTTTATGATGGGCAGGTGCTGCAGAAGCTGCTGGGTGAGTTGATACAAGAGAAGATCCCCCCAAAACTGGAAGGGGCCCAAAATGAATCTCTTCCAGAGCTGCAGAGAGCAGCAGGGCTGTGCAGTAACACATCACCCCACCAGGGATACACCTTCTTTCAGTGATAGAGCTACAGTGTCAGCTTCTCCATCTGCTGAGAAGGCAGGAAATCCAGAGAATTCCCAGGTTTCATGATCTAACAGAAAAATATCCAAAATAATTTAAAATAATATTTGCGTGTTTTGGTAGTCGGTTTAGAAAACATTCAAAAGCATCTTGGCTAAAGAGTGTTTCTCCCATTAATATTATTCAGATATTGATAAAAAGTCCCTACTTGAGGTTGATAGAAACAGTCAAAATGTTCAGAGTATTTGTGAGTTGATAACCTGCAAGTCTTTTCTGTCTGGGCTACTAGAGTGCTTATGTATTTCTATCACTTCAAAAGAAATAAATCTTTATCTCCAGCTAAGTTAAATGTCTGGAAGAGACATACTTGAGAGCAGAAATATTTCCATTATTGGAACAGTAGGCTTTGATAACTCTGAGAGGTTTCTGAAGGCATCTTTAAGAGTTGAAGGCCATCCCATTTTGGGAAAACAGTTTTGGTGAAGCTTGTTTTTTGTTTTAAAGAGTGGAATAACTGGAATATGTTCAACCAGTCCTGACCTCCCAGAGAGATGATTTTTCCTCGGGGTGGAGGGAGAATAGAAATCAGCTGTTCCCATTTCCCTGAGGGCTGGAAGAACTCAACTCTCTTCTTTTCTTTTCTACAAAAATTCAACTCCTTTGTCTTTGGCAGGAGCCACAATGCAGAGGAAGAGAAGAATGACTTTTCTGTGATTTTGGCCACAAATAATTACATTACAGAAACAGAACTGCAATTTTACTTAATGTCGTTTTACAGGTTTTCCTTCATTAGTTCATTTTTGGAAGTAATCAACCACGAAGTGACAATGACACGACGAGATCATTCCAAATTACTCCCTTAAATTAGTCCCACTAAGGCAGCACAAATCTGTGGGTCAGATGAGTCTGTAACTCTTGAGGGTCTGAGGATGCAAAGTGTCCTTCAGCTTAAATTCACACCTTCAGCTAACTTGAAATAAAGCTTAGCAAGCTGCAGTAAATACTCACACAGTATTTCCCATTTTTTTTGTCCTGATTAGCAAGTCCATTCCACTTGTACAGATTCCTTGTTTAGTGAAGGCTGTGTTGTGCCAAATGCTTTTCAGCAGCGAAAGGAATTGGGAGGTACAATTAATATTGTTACTAACTCGATGCCTAGCTGAAAGTTGTTATACATTTTGACGCTTGATTGATGAGCATGTTCAGTTTTGTCACATTTTTGTTGGAACTGACGCACTTTCGATGCAGGTTTTACTTTCAGCCGTTTTTCTTTCCGAGGAAAATAATTCTTTTAGAAAACTTGAAGCAGAGTCCGGCCCTGCCCAGTGGTCTGTGCTCGTTATTTCCACCCAGGACTTTGTTTAATCTGGTTTTGCCTGTTTCTTTCTGGTTTCTGGATGTTTTTTTTTCAAACACAGAAAAACTGGCTGACCGTAAACTGAACGTGGCAGAAGTGACACAATCTGAAATTGGTCAGAAACAAAAGCTGCAGACGGTCTTGGAAGCTGTCCATGATTTGCTCCGACCCCATGGCTGGACAATCAAGTGGAATGTTGACTGTAAGGACTCTCTTGTGTTTTCTGTCTCGGCTTTCCAGGCAAAGAGGGGGATGACAATCAATAGGCTGATAATGCTCTCTGTGATGCATTGTGGTTTAAAAAATTATTCCTTTATTTTTGGTTGTAACTTTGACCTTCTTCTGTGGCCCCTGAAGGACAGACAAGGTGTCTTTGTAGAATAATCAGGGTGACTTTTTCAAGCCCCCTGTTCCAGCATGGCCTGTTACAACCTGAAAGTGAGAATGGAATTGGGAAAGTCCCTTTACCCATGTGGTGAAAGAGTTTCACCTCTTACAGATGTCAAAGCTTGTGTTAACACTTCAAAGTCTGCAAAAAGCAGTTTTCTCCAGTATCCTCCAGTGCAGTGATGGAGGCTGCCTGTCTTCATTGACAGGGAGGGAGCTGAAGAGTCTGAGCTTGTAAGTTCTGCATGTAGCTTAAAGGAAGGGCTGAATCTGGGCTTTGCTACCTTCAGAATTGTATTTCAGGTATTTACTAATTTAGGAAAAGGGGGAAGAAGCGTACAAATTAAAAGGACTGTTTACCAAAAGCATTTTTTCACTGCCTTTTTCCCCCAGAGCTGTTTGTTTAAAATAAGGCCCTCAGCATTCTTTTACTAGCCTCATTTTTCTTGTTCCCTGCAGCAATCCACGGCAAGAACCTGATTGCCATTCTTCACCTGCTGGTGGCTTTGGCAATGCATTTCCGCGCTCCCATCCGACTGCCCGAACACGTGTCTGTGCAAGTGGTGGTTGTGAGGGTGAGTACGGAAAAACTGACAGGAGAAATCATCATTAATCACCCTGATTTGGCAGGACCGGGCTGCTCCCCTCCATTGCCCCTGATCTCTTGCCACGTGTCCCAGCTGTTTGTCCTGGGAATGCATTTTTGCGTTGCATGTGCTCACACGCGATCCCGAGGACGTCACCTCTTTGACATGCTTGGGACCACCGTTTGCTACTGCAACAGCAAGGTAAAAATGGGATTCTGTGTAAGGGAGCCTCGTGCCTGGAATTTCTGGCACTTTAATGAATTTTTTTTTTTTTTGCCTCGCATTTTTCGTAGAGAAGCCGCTGAAACACAAAGCAGCACAGAAAGGAGTTCCAGCACGTAGAATCTCCCCAGCCTGGGAAGCCTCTTGCTGGTGTTGTTTCCCCCCCCTACAAATGACTTAATGTGCAGACTTAGACGTGCTGTTTTCCTTGGCATGCCTGGGAGACTTTTCCATCCCTTTCAGAGTCTTTGTGTTTCTGTTAGCTTTCCTTAGATGTGGAGAAGAGATCTGACCTAGGGAACCCTGATTTCTTCTCCCCTGCCCTAGATGTTGCTCTGGTTATTCCTTTCTCTGCTGGTGCCTGTTTGCTGTGACCCTCGGTCCCAAGGCAGGCTCAGCCACGGGCATCAGGCTCTGCAAGTGCCATTCCTTTGAAGAATAAAGAAGATAAAGTGATCTCAGGCTCTGCTCTGCCAGTGTGGGTCCCCTCACCAGGATGCTTGATTAGGCAAGAGCCTCATTTTGTTTTATGTTTCAGTAATGGCATTTTCCAGGCTGCCTGCCTGAATGCTCTGGAGGGACAGGGTGTGATGAAAATGAGGAACTGATGGATGCTCCCTGGCTCACAATGAATGTATGTGTTATCTTGAAGAGGTGATTTTGAACTGCTTTCAGGCTGCTGTAGTAGTTCTCTCCTGTTAATAATGGTGACTTAGTTACAAAGTAATATGAATGTAAATAGGAGACTAATTTCTTTTAAAATTTCTTCTGGCTCTCTTGGAAAGATAAGGAGGAACATGCAAATATAAGCTGTTTTTTTTGAAACCCTGTGAAGTGGCTTCTGTAACTGCTAAGTGAGAAAAAACCCTTTAGGTAGACAGGTAAAGCCTCCCCAGTTCAGGCTTCAGGCCCCTCCACCTCTGCAGCAGAGGGAAGCCTGTGGGGAAGGTGTTTTCACCTCTTTTCCTGTTGGAGGGACATGGAGGAGACACCCCGGGGAGGTGGTTGGTCTGCACTTGAGACTGGGGAGGGCTGAGGTGAGGACAGGATGAGGCAAAGGCTGCCAAAAAGTGGGGAAGAGGGAAAGAGCAACACCTGTGTCCCCAAGGGAGTGCCTGGAGGGGTCAGGGCAGGGGTAAACCGAGAGCTAAATTAAACCCAAGAGGCTGTGAGCTCTTGCTCTTGGACCTCGGAGCCTGGAGATGGTTTTGGCAACACTGGCTGCGAGCCTTGCTCAGCTGGTCCTGTGCAAGAGGAGGCTTGTTTCAGCCCCCTGACCCACTGCTAGGAAAAGCTTACAGCCCCTCAGCTTTGTTTGTTTAAATGCAAAGCGAGGCACGCTGTAAACTGAAGCTTGTTTCTTCTGGAACAATAACTTTCACCTTACATGTGGTACCCTGAAATATATATTGGTTCAGTGGCATGGATCTCTTTAAATGGATTTTATTTAGCCTGTGTTATACCAGTGGACAAACAGAATGGTAATGAAGTTAATACTGTTCTAATCCAAGGAAGAAAATTAAGATTCTTACTTTTATTATCAATTTATTGTTAAGTGATCTCTTATTACATATCCTTATAGTGATTAAGGTTCTGTTGAATTAGATCACAGTTAACATAAGATGTCTGCTCTGAGAGGTTGTCATTTAGATGCCTCTTCTTGCTTGAAGATGCATTTTAGAAGGCTAATAAATGATCTAAGTGATTTCTTTGTAAGCCTGACAGAATTGACCCCTCAGCAGGAAAACCGTGCAGGAGGTGGGAGTGTTGAGCGAGAACACACCCACACTGAAACTAAACTAATTAAGTCTCATTTTGGTGGAGAACTTTGACATTAAGGATTATCAGTATCAGCTTTGCTGAGCCCTCCTCACACTGTGCAGATCCCTGAGGTGCTTCTTGCCCTGGAGGACTGTGCTTGCACTGCAAAAAGCGGAGTTATTCTGGTTTTGCAGGTTACTGCTCGGCCAAGGTTGTGTGCATTTCCACATCCCAACACCTCAGTACCGCGTGGGCTTTTTCTTCTCTTACCTTTGCTGTCCCTCTCCATAAAATGAGATAGTGTTATGACTGCACTGTGCAACATGGGAAGTGTTTGGTGGTGATTCTGGCCTTCTTTCAAATTCTTTTGCCATCTTGAGGTGACAGGCTGAGACTTTCCTAAGGTGCTGTATTTCTTTTTTAATTAAAAGTAGTTGATTTGGAGTCTGAGAGCCCACAAGCATTTTGGAGAGGACTTTCTGTTTTACCTTCCTTTGCCAGGAAAAACCTTTCCCTACCTGTCTGTCTTTCAATATCACACAGAGCAACTACAAGACTAAACCAGGAGAAAACCACTTTTGTTCTTATTATTTTGTAATGGGCACCATGATGTAGCAAGACTCGAGAGAAGAGCTCCTGAAACGTAGTTGCTCTCAAGCCTTTTTGAAATCAACCTCCAGAATTAGTTTTCTTGCTGGTTTTTTTTTTGTGTGTGGAATAGAAAATTGTGTAACCATGGCAGTGTATGCCAAAGTTACACAAGAAGTGTCCCAGCTAAACAAGGGTATAAGTGGGCCTTCCACTTAAAATCCTCTTAAAATCCACTCTCAGTGCCGAGTTAAGAGTCTAAGATGACACATGTTTTAATACTGGTGGCGCTCAGCATATGCCTGTAATTCCAGCCTTCCTCAGTGAGGGGCAGGGAGGAAGGAAACTTTGTGGTTCCAGTGCGTGCTTCCGGTGAGAACTGAGAATCCTGAGATTTTTTTTAATTCCAGCCGATTCTGCTGCCTGCTAGTTGAAATGTAAACTTGCACGGTGAAGAAATACCCTAATTCAGAAAAACAAAAAAAGTCCACAGAAGTAAGTGTAGAAATTGTCCTTCAGGCTCACCGTATGGGTTATTTCTGCAAGGCTCAGGAACTGCTGCCTTTTGCACTTGGCTTTCCTCATCCTCCTTTTTAAAACCATGGCCTGCCTTGGTGCTGCTGGGAGATCCGAGGTGTTTTTACAGTAATTCCCTTCTAGTCTCCAGTTGCAGGCTGAAAGGTCAGAGGCGAGGCAGGATGAAGAATAAATAAATGTGCCTGGTGCCAGTGGTGCGAGGAATCAAAGTTTTATCTAGGAATGGCATTTGCTTTTGGATTGCGAGGCCAGGGGACCAGGCTTGCTGTGTGGGCAGCTGCCTCAGAGGGGGCTCCACAGAAGTGCTGCCTTTTCCATCAGCTGGGAGGTCAGTGTTGGCATCCCTTCCCCCTCCTTATCCAGCATCTGGAGGTGTTACTCCCTACTCACCGCTTGCTGAGCTTTTGTTCACGGATTGCAGCATCTTCTCCCTGGGTCTGTGGTGCCTGGAAGGTGCAGAGCCCTGTGTTAATGAAGTGGTGGGATGGAATAAAGACCACGTTGTTCTGTGCGCGAGAAAACGCCGCCCTGTCAGGAGCTTCTCTCGTTTTTCCATCCGCCGTGTCATCCTGGCTCGTTCCACCAGCCCTTCTGGCACCGTTCCCAGGATGAGATACAGGGATGATAGGGAAGTGAGGGGCTGTGGAGACAAGGCCAGCTGGCAGCATCCAGCCCAGGGCCCAGCCAGGCACGGAGCTGGAACAGCAGAGCAACAGGAGACCACAGCTCCCACCGTGCTTCCAGCCAGGCTCCCTGGGAAAGCAGCCCTGCCTTCATCTCGAGGGCAGGAGTTCTTCTCACTGGCTTTTTGGATTTCAGCTTTTATTTCTCCAGATTGCTTCTGGGGAAGGATGTGTTGGGGTTCAGCTGGTGAAAAAGATTGAGATGGAAGATGTGTGCAGAGCTCGTGCCCGGGGGGGGTGGTGGTGGTGGTTTCTCTGCTTACCTGAGCTATCAAGCTTTATTAACCCTGCTATAAGTCATTCTGACAGCCCTGGTTCCTAGATGGCTGCTGAGATTTGAGCTCTCTGTGTCAGCTTTTTCAGAGAAGGGAAGGGAAGGGAGGAAAGAAATTCCTTCGTTCAGGGATAAAGCTGTTTCTCCTAGTTTTGAAAGGAACCCATAGAGGTGTTAAGCAAGTTTCTCACTTGAGGAAAAGCACTTCCAGCCTCTGAGCTGTTTTGAAACTCATTCTCACCACCTGCTAACTTTCACTTGGGTGGGAGACCCCTTATTCATGCAGAAAATTATCCCAAGTAGAGAAGACCAAGTGTCAGAGAAATACAGTTTGCTGTAAAATCAAACTGGTTGAGCTTTCTGTGCTCCCTGCGTTTCCTTGGAGGATGTGTTCCTGTCACCCTCATGCCTGGAGAGCTTTACCAGCACGCCCCTGGTCTGGGGGCAGCCATCCCTGCGATTTCAGCCCCAGGACTCTCTGGAGAGTCAGGCTGCCAGCTGTGCCAGGTTGCTGGTTGACACCGTGACCTGAACATTTCAATCCCCTGGGGGGGGGGGTTTGAGGTGGGGCTGACGAACTCCCTGGGATTTGTGTTCCAGGCACACTGTTGCCTCTGGAGGAGGATTGTGAGTTAGCTGGCTGCAAACAGAGGTGTATATATGCATTTCCCAAACATCAGTTTGGCTGCCAGCCTCCTAAATGCCACTCTCCTGGGAGTGAGTCCTCTGTCAGCTCTTCCGCCTCTGCAGAACTTTTAGGGAGCGTGCTTCATCCAGTTTTGTCCTCAGGCATTCTGAACTGCTGCAGAGCCCCTAATGAGCTTCTGCTTTCCTAATTCTCAAGTTTCTAACTCCCATCTTCCTTTCCAGAAACGTGAAGGCCTCCTCCAGACCACTCACGTTTCAGAGGAGCTGACGACCACGACAGAGTAAGCACAAAGCACTTTCACATCAGTGATTGTGAAACCGATTATAAAGATGAAAGATAAATTTAACTTCCCCCCCTCCCCGTCCCCATCCTTGCTAAATTAACCAAATCCCCTAATGTGGTGCTTTTTTAACTATATAGAAATGCCTTGGTCTCTGGAAATACATTACAAAGGAGAAGTGTCCTCTAGAAATTCCTGTGTCATGGAAGCTCTTAATGGAAAGTGACCTTTGAGAGCTGTTTTTTTCCCCCTTGCCTTCTGGAGGCAGATATATCTCACTGATTTCTGCCCAGTATTGTTTTCTCTCTCAGGTGAAAGGCTAATGTAGATATTTTGGGGAAGAATTAGTTTGGCAAAAGGCAGTTCTTTGACCTGTCTCTCAAAACTGGAGTGACACCCCATGAAAACTGTGAGGATCTTTTAACGGGATATCACTTCAGTTTTGAGAGGTCTGTCAACGATCTCTTGTTTTCAGCTCAGGACTCGAGCTCAGCAAAACCAAACTGAATAAATGAACCCTGGTTTGTGCCCCAGAGTACTTTGCTTTCTGTATTTACAGTCCTTTTCTGTACGGAGAAGGCTAGACACGCATTTTGGCTGCAAATGAAAGCTGAGATTTTTCCCCTCACGTGGCCTGAAGGCAACTCATGTAAGAGGGGCTTACATGAGCCCTCCCTCAGATTATCAGAGTACTGGCTCCCTGTAGAGCTGGCTCAGCTTCCCCTGGCTTTGAAGATAAATGGAGTACCATGTGGCTGAGCTCAGGGGGGAAGATCTTTCAGATGGAAACGCTCAAAAATGAGATCATAACATCTATGTGTGGACATTAAAGGTCTCACAGTGGGGGTTTTTTTTGTAGGATCAGAGCTCTGCCTCGGGTTTGTGGGCCAGAATTTCCTCCCCTTACTCCTGTGCTCTTGAACAATGGGCTTGGCTTGTCCTCTGCCTCAGATATGGTTTGTAAGATGTAATCTGCAGACTGGGGCTTAGGCACTCTTTTAGCCAGATGTTTACGGATTTGCATTTGTGTTTATACGTATATTTTTTTGAGGCTGTTTGATATTACACAGTATTAAGCGGTTTGCTGTTTAAAGTGCTGCATGCCCAGATACAGGAATAGCCGTGGAAAATGCAGTGATCAGCAAAATCCAACATTCACTGCATGCTTTCAGATTCCTCTGTGCAAATCAGGGCCTGATTCTCGGCTGATAAAGATCTGCCCGTGTCTGCTGATGTCACTGGCTGTGTATAATATTTCTGATTTGGCAGTTTTATTTACATAATACCCTCAGATGCTGTGTGTTTTCTTTTTTCAGAGGGAACAGGTTAAAGTGGGGTAGATAACTGTGCTTCTGAGCTGTGTGGTTTGGTGGCTGATGCCTGTACTTGTGGAAAGTGTGCACAGAAACACATTCATTCATTCATTCACCCTCCATCATCAAAATTGTCATGGATAAGAAATCACGATGATGTGTAAAATATAATTACGTGTAAAATATGATTATGTGTAAAATATAATTACACATTTCCATTCATTTCCAACGTACCCTCCCACGGCATCACTGGTGTTCTGGGGACGTTCCTGCAGCACGCTGGGTCTGGTCTGTGACATGCTCAGCCCTCCTGACTTTGTAGGAGTGGTTGGCCCTTGGGAAAAGCAGAAAAAAAACCTTGCAGGAAAAGGCCTGTTAAGCCCATGCTCTTGTCTTTTCAAAGTGATTATTCATGAACTAACCTGATACCTCTGAATGCTCTGACTTGCAGGATGATGATGGGAAGATTTGGTGAGTAACAAAGTTGACTCTGAATATTTTTTTTTTTTTTTTAATATTACTGTTTGTGTCAGGCACAGAAATAAGGTCTGGTTTCTCTCAGCAGATCAAGACAATGGGTTGAGCAATTCCATGGGGGTTGGAACAAAACTGGTGTTTAGTTTTTTTTTTTAGTGGCGTTACGTCACTCCTCGCCTAAGAGGCGTGGGCTCATGTAAAGGACTGTGTGTGGTGAAAAATAAGTAATTAATTTTCTTTATTCACTCATTATACCATGTGCACATTACCATTGTCCTCTTGCAGAGTATCAGCATAAATTATTAATGAAGCATTTGGAAAATAAGTTAAGTCAGGGGGCTTTAAGGGTAAATATCTTAATATACCAAAGAAATTTGGATAATAAATATGTTTGTTTATTTAACAGCAGAAAAATATTAAAATGTGTTCTGTAAATAAAAAGAAATTGATCTTGGAAAAGCTGTTAAAAACTGTGTTGAAAACATAGACTGGGTTAGATATTATTTTGCAGTGTTTGGAAGGTCTAAACATTATTTAAATCTTTACACTGAGCTTTGCTCTTCATACACTGCTGAATCGGTGTTGAGTTCAGTTTTAAGCTTTACTGAAGTCAAGGGTACTACCAGTAATTTTTAATTAACCAAATTATTATCTGACTTTGACACTGAGTGGTGGGTGCAGCCATAGCTATTGTTTAAGTCAGGATTGGGGCAAACAGTCAAAATTTGTGTCTCATTTTAATTTGTCTTCCACCTAAATATTTTCTGTTCCAATTATGAATGGCAAAAAAAAAAGGGAAATCAGTGACTGATGCTTATTTAGTTACCTCTAAAATTCCCAGGGTAGTTTGCTCTGGCGTTTAGCTAAACACCAAAACAGGGTAGTAACTTTTTAGCTTGGGTCTCTGTTATGTGGCTTTCTGAGGAGAACCTTCAAGCTTTAGACACGTAACCTGCTTCCCATACTTGGCTGTTGGAGTTGTATTTATTTTAACTTTCTTTTTCCCCTCGAACCAGAGCGTGATGCCTTTGACACACTCTTTGATCACGCACCAGACAAGCTCAGCGTAGTCAAAAAGGTAAAAAATAAAATTCTGGTTTTATTTTCCACGTTGCCTTTTTTTTTTTTTTTTTTTTTTTTTTTTTTTTTTTTTTTTTTTTTTTTTTTTTTTTTTTTTTTTTTTTTTTTTTTTTTTTTTTTTTTTTTTTTTTTTTTTTTTTTTTGGAAAGATATTCAGAAACATCCAGCAAATGACAGAAGGGGAATCTGGAGAAGAGAAAAGTTATCCCCAAAGGGCCCTGTTTCAAAGCCAGCTGGTGTTTTCTACAGCACCCTGAGATGTAATTCACCCATAAATAAGTTTGCTGAGTGCAAAGCTTTCATAGAAAAGTTGTTTTTGTCCCAGGGCTCTTCTACTGAACACTTAATTCATCTGGTCCCCTGGTTTGTCCCCCAGGGCTGAGCATCATCTCATTGCACACCCACCCAGGCTTGGTTTTGACATGGTGTTGGAGCAGAGGGGTCATGTAGCTGTTTATCTCTCTCTGCCAGCCCTTGTTTTGGGGAAGACGTAAGGAAGAGGCCCCGTGTTGATCCATCAGAGAGTTCCAGCGTGGCTGTTTATTGGAACTGTGCAAAGATCAGCGTTGTAAATTGTCCCTTCATGAAGTGGAGGATGTGTGCATTTACAGTAATGCTTTGAAGTCTCTGGAAGATTTTATCTTTCCAGTCTCAAGTGTCTTCTAGAAAAAAAGTGTTTTTAAGTTGACAGAGAGCGAAGTTAACTCTTTAAAGAATTAACACCCAGCTCTGTGCCCCTTTGGAAGTGGTGGGAGCAGGGAGGCAGACCTCAGTGCTTCAATACATCAGCACACAACTGGCTTGTAGGAGCAGGATGTTGCATCTGGAATAGAAATCCCAGACTTGGGTCCCATCCTGACTGTAATTTGCTCACTGATCTGCACATATTCCCCCCTGGGAACAGAGCTGTGTGCTGTTGGCATCTTCTCAGGCCTCTTTTAGCTCAGTGCTGCTCATGCCTTGCTCTCAGGTGGTGGGGCTTCTCCAGGAACCTGAAAAGATTAGTGTGGACAGTAAATGCTCCTACTTGCTTCATCTCCAAGCGCTGATGTCATCTCAGCTTCTTTTTTTTTGCCTTGTGTGCTCAGAAAGCTCATATAGTGAGCTGTGTGGAATAGCACCATCTGGTGAGTTCTGGCACGTGGTGCAACAAAAATGCCTCTCTGACCGAGTTGTTTTCAGTTTTATGCACTTTATTTGTGCAAAAGCAAACAGCCCACACCCATATTTAGCAGGCTTTAAAAAATGTGTGTCTAAATCGCTGCCTCTGGTGTTTCCTTTCGTAGTCTCTGATCACCTTTGTGAACAAACACTTGAATAAACTAAACTTGGAAGTAACAGAGTTGGAAACCCAGGTAGGAGACTTTGTCTTTTTGTGTGTAATCTGTAAATTGCAAATCTAGCCCTTGTTACGTCGCTCTTTGGGCATGTTAATGTTCGGGATCTTGGAGTAGCAACGACATGCTTGGAAACCTTAAGTAAGTGTGGATTTCAGTGTCAGTGGGGTAGTTCTCACTTTAAGCATAAAATTAAGCAATTTTTCAGGCTAAGCAGAAGCAGATCTTCTCTCCAGAGTTCACTGAACTGTGGAGAGATGGTTATCTTATTGTCTCAGCAAAAAAAAGCACAGCATCTAAAGAATTACACCGGGAGTGTGGGTAATTGGTTTGAGCTTGGCTTAGTGTAATACCAGTCATTCATTCACTGCTATTTTATAGCTTTGTTGAAATAAGTGGGTGACTGGATCTGATCTGTCACAACAGATTGGTGCTCGATGCCTTAAGGGTACCCAGCAATTTATTTTGGAGAATATTAGAGGATGTCACGTGTGCCATATCAGGATCACAAGTGAGAAATCTGTTAGAAATTCATGACGTTTTTCCCCCTCAGCCAGTCAGGAGTCATCCTGTCAGTAGGGACACTCAATAGTATTGCCCAAGTATATAGGATATTATTGAATATTTGCTGAAACTGTAAACAACCTATTTTGGGGGAAAAAAAAAATTCTTTTATGAAGTTAAACTTCTTACCTGTGACAGGGGGAGACTTAATTTCAAGTTCTGATTAAGGGCAAAGACTTGAATGTCCAAAACACAATTTAAGAGGGATTGTTGTTCAAATTACCAGGTACTGTGGCAGTAGGACTGGGAGTATTTAACCGGAAAACGTGTTTTCCCAGGATGTTTTGGGAGATTTTTTTAAATAAAAAAAGCTTTCTTAAATACTGGAGAGAAGCTGGCAAGATCCCTCAAGCAAATAAAATGTATGTGAAGAAAGCAAGAACAGACAGACAAACATAACCCCACCCTAAAGTATTCATTAGGTCAGTAAATAGATAACTGGTTGAAGATAAAGAAGATCTTTTTTTCACTCCCTGCCTATTCAGACCAAATATTCTGCCCAACTAAGGAATACAAATTGTGGATCGCTCCCAGGTGAATTGCTTCTAATTTTTTCTGCTTAGAGCTACTTACTGTATGTAAGTAATTAAAATAAAATATGATCTTGCAAGGGTTAATGCTCCCAACAATTGCTGATGGGCTTCCTTGTTTTGCTCAGGAAATGAGAGGAAGGGAAATTGCGCTATCAGATGTAGGGAGAAAGCCTTTCGTGGTTTATTTTCCTTTTCTTCAGAGAACAGACAGGAGAGCAAGCTCTGTCAGCAGGCTTTTAAGAAATTAAAACTGATTTCTCTTGCTCAGCTGCAGTGGTGATTTCGCTCTGGACAGGTGAATCCAGGGAGCAGATGAAACAAAACCCTAAATGCATGTTACAATGACCGAAAGGATCACTTGGTGACTCCTGAACCATCTGATACCTCTGTGCCAGCAAAAAACGGGGGTAGAAATCAAAATACATCATTTGGGCCAAGCATTCTTTGTTCTCCTTGTTCGTGAATGCTTATTTACAAACAGATTCTTTCTCCTAGGAAAGTCAGCCATGTCCCTCTTTAGTTTGCAGATGGTGTTTATTTGGTCTTGCTCATGGGTCTCCTCGAGGACTATTTTGTTCCACTTCACAACTTCTACTTAACACCTGAAAGTTTTGATCAGAAGGTGGGTAGAAACTCCGTTGTTTCCATATTCTTTTTGCATTCTTCTCACGTGGTGTTTTCCAGTTTCTTTTCCCTTTGTGCCAGGTAAATCAGAATAAGCTGGTATATTCTCTCCAGGAGCTGTAGCAAAGAGGCACAGGCTGTGACACCTGATAGTTAAAACCACTAAAAGCTGTTTGTGAAATGGAAGGGCAAATTCCCAATAGCTAAGGAAGAAAACTATTCTGTTACTAGCATCAAACAACACATAATAAAGAAAGAAATGAATAATCAGAATGAATAAATCAGTAATGAGTGCTTTGTACTGGAGAGTGCTTTGCATAATCAAAGTGATTTTTTTGGATTGTAGCACTGCCTGAAGTGGTTTTGTGTGCCAGACAGCAGAGTTGATGCCTGGCCTTGTATGTCCTGTGTAAACAGGCAAGAGAGAGAAAAGATGAGATATGGGAAGCTCAGCTTTAGCTGCATCCTGTACAGGGGGATTGACATGGAGATAAAGCTTCTTCCCAGGGTCACAGGATGTCATCCCTGCAAACTGCCCCCTCATCTCATTAGGATCAGTCCCCTAATACCTGTTCTTTTCCTGTAGTTTATTGAATAAAATAACTTTTATATATATATATATTTATATATATATATATAACATTATAAACCAACATATTATTATATGATAGTGTATTATTTTATATTATTTATATAAATAAATATATATATTTATTATATATTATTATATATATTTATATATAAACTGAATAGAGCAGTGGGAAAATTAATATCTATTATTACATCTTACATAAGCTCTCCTTTATAGCTTTCTCTTTCTTTTTGCAATCTCAATATTTTGAATTCTTGCCCTTGTAGAAGTGCAGGGTGCTGAGTTGCAGCCAGCACCTGTTCGGTTACAATGTTGTTATTAATGGTTTAAATTCATAAAGATTGGCCAATATTCCTGAAGTGATGTTGTGGTTTTGGGTGGAGACTCTGCCCTGAGGGATGGGGGGTTTGTAAATCAAAGAAGGAGAGGCAGGTGCTGTGGTTTTGGGAAAGAGAAAAGTAATTTCACACTGAAAGTGATTGGTTTTGTCACTGTCAAAGAGGAGGAGCTGCAGCAGGTAAAGAGAGATCAATAAAGTCCTGAACAATAACTGTGAGTGAAAGTGGCCTTTCTTCCTTGTTGTAGGGGAGCTTTATGTGCATAACTCCCTGATTTTTAAGATGAGCAGCTGTAATTAAATCCCCCCCCCTTGCTCTGTATCTCCATGACTGTCATTTGCGGTGACAAAACTGCACAGAATTCATAATGCAAATTACCCTGCTTAAATTTCAGTGAGCATGGACAAGAAATCTGCTGTGCCAATCTCTTTAACTCACCTTTGCTCCTCAGATGAGAGGTTAAAAAAGACTCCTACTTTCTTTCATTTTTCCTTTCTGTCCGTGTCTTTTAATGGTTATTGGGAGCTCTCTGGCCTCTGCCATGGAATCTGAGCTTGTGGCTCAGTGGGGTTTCTCAGTTCCTGTGGTACCCATCACGTTTTCACACTTGGATTTGGAAATCTGAAATTGCTTCCTTTATATCCAAAGTGAATATTTACCCTACAAGCTTTCATTTCTCAGTCACTCATATGTACTTTCCATTAAACATGTCAGTGTTTAATATTGAGTTAAACAGAATTACCATTTTCTGTGTCAACTCTAGAGAGAATAAAGCATTTAAAAGATTTGATTTAGGGCTTTCAGTGCCTGTATAACTCTGAGATTCTAAACACTTCACTCCTTTCAGGTCCATAATGTTTCCTTTGCTTTTGAGCTGATGCAGGATGGAGGACTGAAGAAACCAAAGGCTCGCCCTGAAGGTATGGACATGCTTTAAACTGTGTATGGAGACATAATAGCAGGTGCATTTCAAGTGCATTTGAAGACAGGAGCAGTAGTTCCACGAAGTGGAGCTGCAAATGGACCCCTTGACAGTTTTCCAAAGGATTCATGGCTTGTGTCTGGGGGATATCCTTACCCCTGTTTCTTGTCTGGAATGGATTCACTGAGGTGTCCAAGTCTGGCTTTAGTGAATCATTCAAGAGCTATTCGGTGTTACATTATAAATTCAGATGGTGTTCTGCAAAACAGTCCAAGCAGAAAGCTTTTCATGGTCTAATTCTCATAATTCTTCCAGCCAGTGCTAGTTTGGACTCCTGTGATCAGACTTCAATGACAGATAACTGAAAGGTTTTTGAGGTTGGTGGTGGGTTTGTTTTTTTTTTTTTTTGGAGAACCAGGAGCAAACTATCTATCTATCTATCTCCTTGATTTATTTGGACTTGGGAGTCAGATCTGAAATACATAAAAACTGAGTTTTCCCTTAAAGTCTCTGAATGTTGAAATGAATTAGCGATGAGGTCTGCATTGCTGCTTGCACCAGGGATGAAAAGAGGAATTAAAACTTTATGACTGCTAAATGAGCGATTCTTATTCCTGGTGTTACAAACTGTGTGTGTTTTAGAAGCTTCCTCAGAACAAAGAAAAACCAGGAGCCCCCAAGAAATGTTTAATCTGACTTAAAATGGGACAAAGTGATGATAGTAAATAGATTAACAAATATAGTGGAGCTGGTTACAGTGGGGGGCGAAAGACAATATTAAATGCCCGTGTATCCTGTTTTAAATCTGGGGATGAAAGGTGCTCCTGAGGAATATTGTGAAACAAAACACTAACTTGGGAAAGCAAAGGAGTGTTCAGAGTATTGGAGCTCAGTCAGTGGGTGTGTGAGGAGGGCAAGGAAACTGGAGAAATAGGAACACACAGGCAGGGATGGCAGCTTGTTGAGTGGGAGGGTTAAGGAGATGCAGTAGGAGACCAGGTAAGCCAGACAAGCCTGTTTTTAGAGAGAAGAAATGGTAAAAGCCTAGGAGATGACTTACTTAGTTGAAAGCCTGTCCTTTTTTGTTTCATTTTGTTTTGTTTTGGCCATTTGACCTGGCAGAGGAGGCCACCTTCCCATAAGGCTTTCCTGTATCCTCAGACTGTCAGGAATGGCAGAACACTGTAGCAGATCTTTTGTTTGCTCAGGACGAGGTGTGTAGATTCAATGAGCAGCAGAGTACGTTTAAGTGCTTTACTGATTGAAGATTTAATTATTAGTGGAAGCTGGAGAGCCAGATGAGCTCACAGAGCATTCCTTTTTGCTGCTGCAGGATGTACAGTCTCCTGCGTGTTTTCCTTCCCCTTCTGTGTGTCCCCATTCCCAGTGGCAGTGGTTCCCAGCTGGTGGAGTGAGTGTGCTCCTGTGATGTCTGTGTGGCTGGAAGTGCCTGGAAAACTGTTGCTCTTGGAAAACTGCTCCTGCGGAGAGGACAGTGACATCTTGGGTATGGCCTGCCACCATGGAATCCTCTGTCAGGTGCTGGCAGCCAGTACTGCCGTGCAATTTGTGTTTCATAAAGCAGTAATTCAGTTTGGCAGACGCTCTGAGGCTCTGCAGAAGATGTTGTGTGCAGTATGCTTTGTTAATGCCATGTTGATCCATTGTTTGCTCCTCAACAGCCTGGAAAACCTGTCAGGTGAATCCATGTCCTTTAGCAGGAATTGGGCAGTAAATGCCTCTTGAATTAGGATCACAGAATTGTTAAGGTGCTGGCAAGAAACAGGCCTTGTTAAATATTTGAGTGTGCCTTTGTACAGGTGTAAATAAAAATAGGAGCATGCACATCATCTCCCAGTCTCTGTTCTTCCAGCAAAAATCAGTGGATTGGGCCAGGAGCAGGACTTGATGCTGAATTATTGCACCAGGACTTGATGGTGAATTATTGCAGCAGAACTCTGTTCTAGTGGATTAATTTATTAGCCTGTAATGAGGCTGTTAAGGAGTGTGAAAGTTTTAAATTAATGGAATATTTTAAACTGTTTTTATGATTTATGACCACTTTCAGTTAACATTTTATTAGTTGTTGTTGGCAGTGTTGTGACTGTGCATGTTTTATCCTAAAATAAGAAACAGGAGGCTGGGAATATGCTTATTTTTGGGAATGCCTGTTAGACATTGATCAATAAGGAACACAGTAATAGCCCACACAGGGAGAATGCATCTCACACTCTGTACTCTTTAATGCAGCAAAACCATAACGAGGTCTGAAAGTTAGGAAAATGGCAAACTAGAATTACAACAGTGAAAGAAATTAACCTTCAGTCTGCATTGTCAAGTAATGGAAGTGGAATTTTCCCCTCTGGAAGATGCATAAAAAGAAAATAAGAAAACATGCAATGTTTTCTCTTCTACGGCTAAATTTACATTTTAAATGCATCTCTGAGGGAACTGGGTCTTGGTACTGAGAATGCTGTGGCAGTGAGCAACTTTCTGTTGTTCTTGGAAAAATCGGAATTGTGTTTCATTTTCAGTTACCCAGGTAGGACATTTCTTTTTTCAGGGTATGTGACTTCACAGCAGTTAGGATATCTCTCTTTGGGGCAGGAGAAGATCCTCTTACAAATGAAAATTAAAACTCATAAATGAAGTATGTAAAATAATACAGGAAAAAGGGTAGAGAGAAATTCTGAGAGGTTATTGAAAATCTCAGATGAAAGTGTTACCCAGTTTTCCCCCTTTTCTTCCTCCCCCTTTTCTTCCTCCCCCTTTTCTTCCTCCCCCTTTTCTTCCTCCCCCTTTTCTTCCTCCCCCTTTTCTTCCTCCCCCTTTTCTTCCTCCCCCTTTCTCCCCCTTTTCTTTCTCCCCCTTTTCTTACATATTGTATCCAACCTTTCTTTCTACTCCTTCAGCCCTCTGTGTGTGCTGTGCCTCCCCCCCTAGTCCCTGGATTCCATACCTGTGATATTTCTTGGCATTTATCACAGTAATAGGATGGAACCTGTTCCCTGGCCTATTGTGATAAGAAGGGATATTAAATAATAGAAAGCTTTGAGTCTGCTGAGAACTCCTGCTTTGTTTATTCATGGTTTATGTCCCTGCAGAGCTGTGGATGGGTGAGGTTTGGTACCTCAGGAGGCGTGTGACTGCTTGTTCACTCCTCCTGTGGCCAGGGAAGCCAGTGGTCATTTCCCAAAGCCTTTGTTCCAAGTCTCTGACAGAATTAGACCTTCTCTGTAACCAGTTTTAGATGGGGAGGGGAATTACCTTTCTTCTGTTTCCCAGAGAAGCTCCCTGTGACTGGATGATCAGGATAGGAAGAGCATCATTTGGGACATGTAAAAGGCTTGACTTGGGGAGATCAGAACTCCGGGGGGGAGGGGGGTTTGTTGCTGATCCCACCGGCTCAGAGGTTTGGGGGCTTTTGTTCCTTTCAGGACAAATGAGGGAAAACAAAATGCAGGTTAAGGGTTTCTCCTTTCCTCCCACAGATGTTGTCAACTTGGACCTGAAGTCTACCCTCAGGGTTCTGTACAACCTGTTCACCAAGTACAAGAACGTGGAGTGATCGTGGAAGCTGCTGAGGTCTCTCCATCCTTCAGCCTCCTGAGGCAGAAATGACCATAAACACGCCCTCTGCACACCCCCCTTGTGCCTTCTGCTCCACTTCATGCATTCTTTCTACAGTTGGTGTGCTCTGTCTGTAGCTCTTTGTATGACAATTCCACTAAAAATAGTGCATGTGTAATTCCCTAGGTCACTTGAAAATGTGTAGATACGTCACGCTTTTACCAGAAGGTTGGATCTGTTGTTTGTTATAACCTACAAGTGTTCTTTTTGAGAAAGGAAATATACCACTAACTACTTTAATGAGCAGGGAAAACACAAGACCTTCCTCGTGGCTGGAGACTCTTTGGTTCTACACTAGGCTTTCTCTTGTACACTCCTTGGTCGCAACTGGCATTTGGTGATTTTTCCAGGCTTAAGTGTTTAGCAACAGAAAATCAGCAATAGGAGTTATTTACAAGCTGAGCCTTTTCTGTTAAATAAGGTTTCTGTTACCTGAAGCTCTGTTCAGCTACCTGAAGCTCATGGCAAAAGCTTCAGGTTTTGGTTGTGTTTTTTTTCACCTCCTTCTACACAGTGTTATTTCCATTCAGTGTTTACACAGAAGAAGTCTTCTAATGGGATGACCAACTAACTTTTTTATGTCTATTTTTATTTTATCTCTTTTCTAGGAGAAATTTGGTTGTTAGAGCCACTGTTCAGCTTCAGTCAGGAGCTGGTCAGACAGGCACAGACTGGATTAATGCATTTCACCCCCAGTCCTTTCTGAAATAATGATCTTGGCAGTCTAAAGGTTGATTCTTCATTTCACACTGAGGAGTTAAAAGGGTCAGATGACTCCTGTTGGAGTTGTTGGCAGCTGTAGGGTCCTGGGGGTCAGGCTTTTATAAACAGGCAGGTTTGCTTTGCTCCATGAGCTCTCTTGAATCCTGTTATAAGTAGACATATTCTTCCCCTGAAAATAGATTTCTTACACCAAACATTATTTACCCTTGAACTCAGGTTCAAGAGGAACCGCGCTCTTTGAATGGTATAATTTTGCAATTGGGATTTTCTCCTTCCCTCCTTAAACAGTTTTTTCATCTCAAAGGGAGAGAAATGGGCTTCTGCTTCTTTGTTTCCTATTTTTGGGTTCTGAGCTTTAGCATTTGAATTACGTGGGTCACCTCCCCTCGCATCTCTAAAACAAAGATGGAAGGAAGTTGCCCTTTCTTTGCATGAAAAATTCAGATCTCCTCTGCTGTGTAAGGCTCTCTGGGGGAATCATTGCCTGCCTGTGCTTTAGGAAGGAGCTGACCTCTCACTGTTTATACAGAGCCCAGAAAAATTGGGCTTGGAGTTCAGATGGGGCCACTAAAGTGCCACAGCACCAGCAGTTATTACAGAGGAGATTTACAGAGGCACCAAAGGCTGGTGGGTCAGCTCTCCTGGCAAGTTAAGGACGTTGGTCTGAATTCTGTGCTGTGCAATAAGGGGATCAGGAGGCTGGAAGGTGATGGAACTGAAAGGCCTCTCAAACTTTTAGTTTAGTCTGGTGTTACCTGTGGAAAACAAGCCTGTTGAAGAGTTGTCATTCCACACACCTCCCTTCAGGTGATGTGGAAGGGCCAGTGCTGTTTACATTCTCTGGGAGATGCTGGGAAAGACCTCCAGAGAGTCCAGTTTTTGAAATTGCCAGCAATATTAATATCAAAAGCAAACAAAAAACAATAAGAAGAGATTAATAAGAGCGATTTGGCTTTGGGGATGGTTCTCTCTGAGATGGGATTATACAGCTGGCATCTTCATGGCTTGTGAGCAGATGTGAATGTACTGACAGGTTTTAAGAGTCTGTTTTGTTCAATTATGCATTTCTGGTCACTCTGCAGAACCCCAAGTCCCTCTGCTGCAGCCTGAGGCATTCCTTATGCTAATATTCCTGTCAGCCAGGGCAGCATCCTTATGTTGATGTCCCAGCCAGGATTGCAGGCTGGATGCCCTGAGCAATTTTGGGGCAGGTGTCAGACCACGTTCTGTTATGTTTTTAAGTCTGTTTGTTAACATTGCACAGGGAAAATACTCATTCCCTGGCTCCTTGCCACTCACTGTTCCTGCAGACACTGTACTGATTGTTAACAGGACTGTGAGCAGGGTAGATTTAACTGAACTGGAGATTCATCCCAGTGAGTCCAGTTTCCAGGAAGAGCAACCCAGGTAAAGCTTCTCTGCACACCTGCTTTTGTCCTGCCTCCCTGTACACCTGTCACTCCTTTCCTCTCAAAAAACCAAGTCCATCTTAAACATGTTATTCACAATTTCTTGGTGTTACTGGGGGTTGATGTTTGTTCCCTGGGTACCAGTGGGATGGATCCCAATCCTGTTGGGTTCATCTGGAGTGCTGGATGCTCTGCAGCATTAAAGCTTCCACATTTGGAAGTGCTTAATGAATGTCTTGTCTTTTCCAGTCCATGCAGCTTGACTTTTAGGTGCCTCTCCTGGGCATAACTCAGTTCCACTGAGCTCTCTTACCACAGAAGAAGCTCAGACACTCCTCAGCTGCGTTCTGGTTTTCAAGATGAAAAACCAACAGTGGCAGATTTTTTTTAATCACCTTAAACCTTAAAGGATTTCTTACCCCTTTCCTCCACTCCCCAGTGCTTTCAGTATTAATGTATTTTTTAAGAGTCTTTTCTACTGTTTTTAACAGTGTTTACTCTGGATTTCTAACTACTAAAACCCAGCCTTGCAGATAAAATTCTGGGCTTGTCACATGCTGGAGACACCCAGCTTGGTGATAAGAGTTGTGTACTGTAAGCAAGTTACAATGCAATGCTATGTTTGCTAAAACTCACAGCAGGAATGTTATGCATGGTTTGTGACAGTTGTACTATTTATTCAAATAAACAAATAATGATCACTATGTTTTCTCCATCTTTTGTTGGTTTTTTTGCTAATTGGGCAAGTCTGTGGGAAGAACTTTTGAATGGTGAAGTTCAGCCCTCAAGGATCTTGTAGACATAGGATGGTCTGTGCACACCTGGAAAAGCAGTGATCTCTGTTTCTGGCCCTGGTACAGGTGATGAGAGGGTGTGGGCAGCACAAATAACATCTTCTGTAGGTTTCTTCAGCTTTTTTTCTTTTATTGTTGTTGCTCAGCTACTGGACCTGACCAACTTGTTAATTTTCTTCTTTCCACAAGAGACAAGCAAATGAATTGCACTCTCTGCTACCGTTAGAAGGCTTGGGATCCAGTTCTTGCACATCAGCACAGGAGGGAATGCTGGCATGCCAATTTGTGCCTACAGAGCTCTTGGGAAGCTCAGGGAAGTCTGGAGTGACACTGAAAATGTCTGCGTGCTTCCCTTTGCTCTGGTATGGAGAGAGCACAGAGTGGCTCTCCAGTGCTGCAAGGCTGTGTGGGGAAGCAGGAAAATGCATTATCAGATCTTGGTGGTGGTGGTGGGACTGCTGTTGGTTCCTTGAATTGTTCTCCAGTGGCTATTTTTAAGCCAAGGCCAGGTGTGTGTGTTGGGGGGGTGTGCATGAGATGTGCTTTGGGAATGTACAGGAACGCTCGGGCTGGGGGGAGATGGGCAAGGCAGAATTTACTAGTGCTGTTCTGCAGAAGGCTGGGTGCTCCTTGCACTCAAGGCAACACCTTCTCTTTTGGAAGAAGAGTGTTGTCCATCATGTGGTTTTCAGAATTGTTTGTTTTAGCACTGACCCCCTATTGTGAATGAGGCTTTCAAGGAAGAAGTCCTTTGTGTTCCCAGTTGAAGTAGGGAGAGACCTAAGGATTACAGATTGATTTCCCAGCAATTAGTTCTTCCTGCTCCCTCTGCCTGCTGACGTGAAGCTGGCTGTGTCCAAAGTTCCCAACAGCATCTCCAGCAATACCTTCTTTTTGTTTCTCACTTACTACATGTTTAGACTGCAGAACGCACTTCTGAATAGGTGAGAAGGTACTCTGGGTCTTTGCTAATTTGTTGTACTGTTGTGCTTGTTACTTGCTTAGAAGAGAGTTAGGTTTGCCCCTTGTTTCAGGATTTTGGGTTAAGTTCTCTAAGAATTCCTGGCAGCTGGAAATCTGTTTTCAACCCACTTTTCTTTATCCCCTTTTGTCCGTTCTTGTCTTTGGCATGGAGTCAGTCCCTTAACAGAGTTAAACCAGAGCAGCTTAGTTAGTGTGGCTGGCTGCTCTCTCATTTGGGGGGTTCGTGGAGGACTGCAGGGTTGCTTTTGCTTGCTGGAAGAGTTAACAGATGTAACTGGGACCTGCAGGAAATGTCCAGGGAAAGTGGTCACTGGGGGAAGCTTCTCCTCTCTAATCACTGATGGCAAAGGGGAGGAAGAGCAGCAGCACTGCCTAGTGGGGATAACTGGTCTTAGATCAGTGTTCTGGGCCCTGCTGTGCCTGATGGACTCTCCAGGGACAAATGAGTTCATCTTCTGCCTGGATTTCTCCTTCCACTGGCTAGGTAGAGTAGTGCTGATCTGCTTTATCAGATGCTTAGAGGGCCATGAGTCCTCCAAACCCATGATTTTGTCTGTTCTTGGCTAGTTTATTCTTCCAGGCAAAGACAAAGCGCTCCGTGAGTCTCCCCAGAGGGAGAGCAGCGAAGAGCCCTGCTGGGCAGTGCCATGCAGGGGTGCTCCTCTCTCTGTACTGCTCTCCGGTGTTTCAGGAGCTGCAGGTTTCCTGCATTTGTGTTTCTGTTTATTTTAGCCTGCAGCAGGGACCAGGCACACAGACAATGAAGTTCCGGATGCGACGGTGGTTTCGTTTTTAGGAGCGCTGAGCACCACACAACTTCCCCCTCACACACCCCTGTGCTGCCCTGCATGGGAGACGCTCCCAGCCTGGGGCCAGTCCCCTCTCCCCACAAATCCCATCGTGCCTGCTCTGAGAACATCTTGGAAGAGCTTCTGGAGAGCCACTGCCGGAGAGAACAGTAAGTGTGGGGAAAGGGACTCCTTTTTTAACCGTGTGAGGCTTTTCTGTGTCCACGTGGGTTGTTCTTGCTGAGATAACATCTGATGGTAATGGGCAAAAAGTGGCTCTTTGTCAAAAAGGTCCGGCACTAAACAGGGAAGGCAAAGTAAGTTGTAGGTAAAAATAAGTTTTAAATTCGGTGCACAATGCACGTTCTCTTTTTTCGTCTTTGTTTTTTTATTGCGGTTTTCTGAAGACAGAAATATTAACATTAACATTCCCACTTGGTTTTTGTTCACTTCTTTGTGTGATCTAGACAGCTGTTCCTAGGAAATTGAGCTAATGCAGAGTAGGGCCTTTTGTCTTTTCAAAGAGGAAGTAAAGCAGTTGAAACAGTTTGGTACCGCTGGTAAGTGCTTTGTGTGTATTCTACAGGTAGTTTGTAAGCCAGAGACCACCACCCATTAATGCTTTATCTCAGGGGTATCTGACAGCCAGACTCTGAAGACTCATGGAGGAAGAGTGAGCTGCTCTGACCCAACTAGAGAATTAGTTGTTTATCTCTCGTTGTGGCA